TAAGTTTAGAAATCTAAGAGGAAGAGAAAGACTTTTTTGCCATATTATTGACAAAAAAAATTATCGGACTGCCACGCTCTAGAAATAATTTTTTAAAATGTCACATCACCTAACTCGCTATAACACCTAGAGAGTTAGGTCTGGACACATGGTAGCCAATGCCAATTTGAGGCCACGTAAATTGCTTGACAGTCTAGCATTTTTCCTCAGTCAACGTGGCAGACTGGCAAGTTCGAGCAAGGTAGTTAAAATCGAGATTTTACGTAAAATCAGAAGGGGGTAAAAAATCATAAAACGTAAAATCGTAATGTAAAAAAAATCATAAAAACGTAAAAGCGTTTGGAATATTGGTAAAATCATTTTGATGAAAAAAATCTATAAAAAGGTAAAATCATAGTGATAAATTAAGATTTTAACTACCATGAGTCTAAGACTGCGGTCCACTTGGTAAAAAACGCTAGGCAGCTTGGTGTGTTACGTGGCACATTCTGACACGTGGCACAATTCCACATAAAACGCTGGGCAGCACGGTTTGTTACGCGACACATTCTGACATGTGGCTAAAGTTGCCACACTGCACAACATCTTATGTGGAAATGGCACATGTACAACGCCCAACAGTGCAATGAGTATGGTTTTATATATACCCCTTCCCTCTCCAGCCAGATGCAACATTTCGTCTGAACTATCTAAAGATTTTCCATTTATTTCCTTCTGCATTTTTCATCTAAATTTTTTCAAAATGAGTGATGGCAATGATTCAGTAATTGTCTTAGTATATTACAACGGGAGGAAATATTTTGATCCTAATGGTCAAGTTTTTGAAGGAGATACAAAAATATTTCAAATGAGCTCACGATGTAGTTTTAATGAACTGAAGAAAATAATATACAAGAAATTGAAATTACAACAGGTCAATCTTTATCTCGATTGACTGCTTGATGCGCCTCAGGTAAATAAAGATGGGTTCCGGTGGAGATTGTTGAGGATGAAGATATTACGTTAATAGTAGATGCATTTCGCGATCATCCAGACCCCCCATTTATTGAGCTGTATGCGGAAGTCGACTTCGGTGGACAATCTAGCAGTCAACATTCTCTTCCTTCCTTTCAGTCCATCGACATTAACAAAGAGCTGTTGGTGAATCCTGAAGATAGGTATGTGTCACCTTCACCACTGGTACCAATGTCACTTGAAATGCATCTTACCCAAGATGAGTACATGCTCTGACATGCCATACTGACAACTCCGATGAAGAAGTGGATGAAGGTGTTGTTCCAGACAGTGACTCATCAGACATCGACGTCGAGGGAGATTTTTGTTCATGTCCGTTTACCGCTGTGTGTTATCTGATTCCTTCACCTGACATCGTTGGAATGCATGACCCGCCAGTGGCAGGTTAGTAACCCAAGTCCATTGTTGGAATGCATGACCCCCTTTCAGGGTTCCTCTTAATACCACCTCCATCGTTGGCCTGTGCAGCACCATCCATACCATCATCTTCATTCAAGAGCCATTCTAAACTCTCCCACGACATCTATGGCGATGGATGTCCATGGGGGGATTGCATAGAAGTATTGGAAAATGATGTGGGTGTGGCCATGTAAAGGGCCTACCACGTGGTCCTGTATCCATCTACAAAGTCTTCTATACCCTAGGTATACTGTGCACTACCCCCTCCATGGTATACGGGCACAATCGGGGGTGGATATGCCTGACCTCCGAGTGGCGGGGTTGAAAAAAATGTGGGATATCCTCCGGATGGCCATGTGTCGTTGCCACGTAAGATGTTGTGTAGTGTGGCAACGACTTTGCCACGTAACACATCATGTTGCCCAGTGTTTTATGCTAAGTGGATTGCAGTCTCAAATTGGCCAGTCTGACACGTTGACTGGGGAAAAATGCTGAACTGTCCAACGAGTTACGTGGCCTCAAACTGGCTGCCACGTGTCCATACCTAACTAGCTAGATATTGTAGCGAGTTAGGTGACATGACGTTTTGAAAAATTATTTCTAGAGCATGGCAGTCCGATAATTTTTTGCCAATAACATGGCAAAAAAGTCTTTGTCCTCAGAAAAAATGCGAAATGATAGGAATGTGTTTTTGTGATACAATTTATGAATAACAAGATTTTAAATATTATTTATCATTATTACTTATACAAAAAAAGATTTTAAATATTATTAAGTTTTGTTAACTACTTTTTTATATTTATATATTTTTTATTATAATTAGTTACTAGGTATCATAATAATACTTGTATAAAATTGTCGTACCAAGTAATACTGTTGTTGGATGAATCAAAGGAATGTGGAAGGTAACTTGATGGGTTTATTTTTTAATATAAAGAATAATTATATTTTGTCACGCTTAGTGTCTTAGTCATGGGTTCAATTTTAAAACTGAGTATATTGTTCCTGATTTAATTAATGAGTTTTTGTAACGAGGCAAATGACTTTTCATGAGAAAAACTATAAAAGGAAAGTTGAATCATGTCAAAAGTAATGTTTTCTGTGTCTTTTATGGCAACTTTTATAGCATTCTTACAAATTATTTTTTTATTCTAATTTATTGTAAAACTTATTTCGTGAATATATTAACTTGTTTGTCATTTAGGACCTTTTGGATGTGTTTTTTTAGTCAAAAGTTGTTTATTTTTTAAGAATTTTTTTTTTCTACTACAAAGTTTGTTTAGATGTTTACTTTAAAAAAAAATGCAAAAGTCATAAAAAAAAATCAAAAACTTATTTTTTTGGAAGCTAAAAATTGTAACTTTAAAAAAAATACAGAAATCCAAAGACAAATAATTTTTCTCAAAATTAAATATTTTTTAAAAAATCTAAATAACTATACTTTTTATAAAAAAATACTTCTAAAATAAGTAAGACATAGAAAACCCTTTTTTATAAGCACATACAGACAGAACTCTTAAAGTCTTTATTTTCTCTCTCTTTATAAACTTGTCGACTGGCATATAGAGAGAAAAAAGACTTTAATATTAATTATGTACTTTTCAAAATATATAATTGGAAAATATTAATCTCATGTAACAAAAATAGTTCTCTCATGCTATAGAGAGAATTCAAGTGAGGTCCGTCATCAAAAAGTAAAAAAGAAAAAAAAAAAAGAGGAGGTATGATTTTCGAAATAAAAGAAAATGAGATAACTATCTCATATAAAATGAGATAGTATTTCCCTATATAATTATAGTGAATGATAATAAATAATAGTAAAAAAATAAGGTAGTATGAATATCCCTATCTATGAATATTTAGTTATTTACTATTTGTCTATTTCGTTTGTTGTTTGTCTCCTCCGTGGACAGTGGGACTCCCTTAGGATTTCACTAAAAAGAGTCAGCTTTCCAACCAGATTGCAACTAACAATGTTGAGATGAATATTTTCCTCCCTCATCGTTAAAAAGATTTTGTGCTGTAGTTGCAAGTTGTTTTGGCTGTTAGTGCAGCTTTTTAACGGGAGGCACATGCAACGCAAAGAATCAAAGATAGCCTTGGTTAGAGTTGTAGAGGCTACAACTGTATTAATTATTAAGCTTCACTGTACTTTATTTCCGCTTGTGGTTTGCTTTATCGATTTAATTTAAATACTTTGCATTTATCATTTAATATGATCATAAATTTTTTTTTTACACACATAACATTTTGTGTCATCCGTATGTTTTAAAGAAAAAAAAAACTACGGCACGCAAAACGAATTTCTATAACATAACACAATCATTTTTTTTACAACATAACTCTTATAAAACCTTCAATTTAAACAATGTTAAGATTCTAATTTTTAAATTTTTACAATAAAATTCTTTACTGATGTGACAGTTTTTGTTTTCCTAAGATCAATTTTGTTGCAACATAATCATAATGTCGTAGATATTATTAAACTACGTTGATATCGTTAACACCTAAACTAATCAGTCAAATAGAGAGCTTCATAAAAGAATGATGTCAAGTGACCCAAGCGTGACGTCAAGAAGTAAGTGACTAGGTATAAACATTGTTTAAGAGCTTGTCTAGAGTTTTTTTTTTTAAATTAAAAGTTAAAGATAAAAAAAAGTTTAAAAAAATATTAAAAGTTGTTTGATAATTGCCTAAAATTTTTAGCTTATAAGTTACTTAACAGCATAAATTTCAAGAAATCTATAACTTTTTATTTATAAAAAACATTCACACAATTTAAGAAAAATTGATAAGAGCTTAAAAAAAATTCCTTCTAGAAGCAAAAAAATATTTTTCATTATAAGAACTTTTCTCAAAATCTATTTGACCTACTCCTGCTCATAAGTAACTTCTATCTTCAAAAAAAAAAAAAAAAATCCAAACAGAATCTTGCTTGAACTATCATTAAAGCTCCTCAACCTGACTTTAAAGGTTAAACTTTTTTTTTTTAGTACATAAAGGTCAAACTTTCTTACCTAATATAACGTCAGTAAATATATTGAACACCTTTGATGATGTTAACACCCACATTAATTAACTTTCATAAGTCAAATATATAGCTTCATAATAATATTATTAAGAATATTATTCGACCGAGTGACTCTCATCACGCAGGAAGCCCGAATGGGATTTGTTTGCTCGCCCAATAGAGTGGAACTAAGATCGATATTGGACCGTCTAAGAGGCCTATAGCCCATAGCTCTTACGTCCTCATTGTTGATTCTCGATGCCAATGACCATGAGAAACTAAAACAATTACTTGGCTACCAAATCAAATTGTTCAGTAACATTTATCTATAAAGGGTAAAAATAAACAAATAAGCAACGCACAGAAAGGCCGTTTACTTAAATTAATTAGCTGGTAATGGCATATACATGTTCACTCAGGAAAGAAAAAATTAAAGTAACTACAAACGAACAAAAAGCACTCATTTCATCAACAGAGTGTAGAGTTGATTACGAGGCAGATGCAAAAAAAAAGAAGGCATCAGAACACCAAGTGAGTGTTCCAGAACCAAAACCAAAATCAAAACTTTAATGGGGCAAAAGATCCGTGAAGTTAGTATTTACACCTTTTCCTACAGTTAGAAGAGACTAGGACTAATAGTCAGCTTCAAGGAAACTCTCATAAACGGTTCCTTTCAATGTCTTGTTAACTTCATCCCAGTTCTGAATGTGGTCTGACAATGGTCCTCTATGTATCTTAACCTGATGGCTTGTTAATTCCATCGGTGGCAATCCTAAAAACTCTTGCACATCTTTTAGCTTCTGCAAGAAACAAATAATGAACCCCATGATGCAATAAAAAGTGAAAACTAAGAAGAAATAAAACAGCTATTTCTCCTTTACCCTTATAAGTGAGTGCAGGAAGACTGGGGGACTTGGTTAAAAGGTGTTAATAAGATGGAAATTTCTTTCTATATTATCATATTTTGGGACAACTATGCAGCTAAACTCAAATCCAGAACCCGTGAGGAAATTTTTTGCAGCTTTTCATAAAAGATTTAGGAATTTATGATAAGGCCCTTACAGTGTGATTACTCATAAGATCCTCATAGTACAGGATCATATGCCGAGTGCTGTTGAAGTATTCTAAAGCCTTTGCGGCTCTCATCTCCATATCCTTCAAGTCATTCAGCAACGATGTAGAATTTATGACGGGCTTGTACTTTGAAAGAATATCAGCCTAAAAAAAAGAAACCAAATATAAGCTTCATTTCAAGAATATTATAAGAAAAATCAAAGGAAAGATGGATGGAGAGACCTCTTCTGCAGAGTGAACATGAGACTTGTGCGTTCCATTCAATAGCTTAGCGTAACGATCATAGGAATTGGCTAGCATGGATACCATCCTGCGCAGTAAGTTTCTCCGGAAAAGAAATATAACAGAAACACTTCTACGGTTGAAGTATTCTGCTATTTCGTCACGGTGCTCCATTAATCCCTGCAAAAACCAGAAGATGTCTTGATTATTCTATAACTTAGTGATGATACCAGGTCAGAAGATGTCTTGATTATTCTATTACTTAGTGATGATACCAGGTCAGATCAAACATCAGTGTAAACTTGATGGAAGTAAACACAGCATGAGCGAGAGGGGAGAAAGAGCAGTATATGTGAGGTATAGTGGTATAGAGCATATGTCAAATTCCATGAATTCTTATAGCCACAAGAAAATTCCAATCCAGAAGTCTAACCCTTAAGGAGACTGCTTTCATATTTATGTGTCCTGAAGTAACCCTAGAAGTGCATTTTAAATTTGTCAAAGACATGAGTAACGCAAAACAAAACTTGTCAGACTGGAATCTTTGAATTTTAGCACTTATGATAAACTTTTAGTAAATATAACTACTGAAAAGAAACTAAAAATCTCTACACCAATTATTCTTCACATTACAAAAATTCTCGGGAGAAACAAAGAGGAGGATCAAACAGGTAAAACTTAGGGAACCCAGACGACAGAACAATTTCATATTTAACATCCTACAGTATAGCAAAGCTTCAACAGTGATAACTAGCTTTGAAGCATGGACACTTCTCCTTATTGAGGTGTGGGAGTGTCAGACACACTTTCAATACCGGCACCCACACCAAACTTGTAAAACACATGTTGGACATTGCTCATCAGTCATCAGGTGTCCAATTAAAAAAATTATTTTTGGTTGGCTCAAACTCACAACAAACATGGTTGTGACACTCAGCCATCACTCAATATGGCTAGAAACTTGAAGGACAAGACTTTTAACAAAAAAATTTAAAAATTTATTTATTTTTTAAAATAACTTTCAGAAAAAGTCAACTTCAAATACAAAAAAATAAATAAATTAAAAACATGTGATATTAGAGGAGATAATCTTGAATCACTTGATTGTGGAATTCTTGAAGTCGCTAATTTTTCACTTGTGAAATTCTTAATGATGCCTCTTAGTATTTTTTTGTGAAGCTCATTATCATAATGAAATTATAAAGCTTAGCAAGTTGTTTTGAGAAGCTGGATATATAAATCCTCATTCTCAATTTAGATCTAGTCGTTGCACCTATCAGACATAATACTTGCGCTGCAAATTTCACAACTCAGATTATATTCATGTGCAATTATGTAGCTCTATTCTATCCAATGCTCACAACTGGCAGTCAGCAAATGAGAAAAAACAGTTGACTCCAGATACTATGGAAATGTGTCCCTGAAGTTAAGCACCCTAGGGTTAACTTTAACTTTGTAAAGAACCAATTCAACCCAAAAGCTCTGATACCATATCCCAAGGTTCTTTACATGGTATCAGAGCCTCGCAGCCCCCCACTTTCTCTTGTGGCGTTTCTTAGCACAGGTAGGCTGAGCCTGTTGCATTGTCCACTCTTCAAGCCCAATGGGCTCTTGTGTGAGGGGGCGTGTTGAGATATATAGTCCCACATTGGTTGTATGTGCAACTAATGTGGAGTTTATAAAGCATTGGACACTCCCTCCCTTTCAGCTTGCTTTTGGGGTGGTGACCTCAAGGTTCTTAACAAACTTAAATCCTCCACAACAGAAATATATGGAAGGGTTACATGGTGTAAATTAAACTGCAGTCTAAGCCTGATACAGAGGGCAACTTTTCCTGCTAATAGAAATAACAAAAACTGTGTTTTTTCTTCTTCATGGAACATCTATAACAAAAACATAAGCTCCAAAGAACTTGACCTACAGACTTCAGGAGTTTAGTAACCAACCAATGAATTAGCAGACTATAAACTGTTTTCTGATTTGCATGTGATATTCTAGTAAAGATTTGAGGTGACGGGAGAGTGACTTTTGAACAGTTTTGTGAAAAATCTAGACAATCCTTCAGCCTTCAGGCCAATACATGTACAACTACAGAAACTAATGCATAAACACGAAAGACAGATATTAAAGAAAAGTTTCAAAACAGTCTCTTTAGCCAAAAAGCCACAGTAACATGAATATCAATGAATGTGTGCTTGTGTTGACAGCACTTAACAAAAAGTATGCATACCTGATTAAGCATCCACTTTAAGCCAGTTGCAGCTGAGCATTCATTCTTGGAAGCACTATTGAGCCAGTCCAAATTGTAAACTTTATCTAAAGTCTGTAAAATTGAAGAAGCATTTTGCCTTCTCTCTCTAACAGAAAATATCTCCCCATTTGAGCTTACATTAATGTGGCTATTTAAAAGGGTCTCAAACCACCCACTGCCTGATCTCTGATTTGACAATATTGCAAAGAATAGTACAGGATTATGAGCACACTCGTTCCTTGCAAGAACAAGACAATCAATCAGTGCCTAATGAAAGTCAACTGGTAATGATCAACAGAAACTTCCCATTACCTGCTAAAGGATACAGGTTTGGGATAATGTAGTGGGTCAGGAATATTCGTTAGCTTCACTCTACTTTGAGAAGGGTTGTCAATGACTTTCAATTCCGTAAATTTAATCCTTGCTTGAGTGCTTATCTGCTTTAGACATGCAGAGAAGATAAAAATGCCGCATAACATTGTAAAGATTAAGACTGCCACCCTTAATAACATTGGTGATTTCTTTGGAGGCTTTATAACAAGAGTATCCTGCGACCCACGTATGAGAAAAAAGTTACTAGAATGCCAATAATATGACAACTTTCAATGCTAGGAAGGGCATCAAATAGATAAACTGATGGAGCCTCCCCCTTCCCCAAATCCCACAAGAATGTGAATGGGAAAAGAAACATAGGACATTATCAAATTGGTGTTGAATCCAATACCAAATATCAGTCAGATATTAATTTGGGTTCAGTAGAATACTTCAGAACATAGTTGTTAGTATCGCACTATACACGATATGTATCATGCGATACAATACAATAGCTATATGTATCGGTTGCCTGTATCAAAATTGATACCGTGAATTGTTATATCGAACGATTCAATATTGGATCGTATCGTGTATCGTATTCGTATCACAATTTTTATTTCAAAAAAAAATCTGAAAAGTTAATATTTATTAGAATCCGTATGATTTGTGATTCAAATTCAAAAATAAATATGGAAAGTCACAATTAATTAGGGAAACAATCAAACAAATATTGAAATTAATATAAATCTCTTCGGTCCTAACAAAAATGATACTGAAAAAACAGAGACGCCCACAAGAAAAGAGTCTCCTATTTATGTCACAGTATATATTTTTAAATTATTTTTTATTATGTCTGTGAATCTTACTATTCATACCATTCACTATTTAAAAAAAGCCAAACAATACACGATAAGTATTGGGATTCAACCACCTTGCTTTAGAAGCATTAGTTCCAACGAGGCTAGCCCTCAACATAACAAGATACACACATTTGGTAATAAACGTATATGCTAAAGAATAATGAGCCCCCAAATTCAGATAACAAACCCAATCGAAACATGCAAAGGAGCTCAAAGGGTTCGTCTTTAAACCCATACGAGTATCAATAATTCTTCCCCAAACTCAAAGCATTCATCTTTGGCCACGCTCGACTGTTTCTTCCCCCAGTTCAGTCAGAGATAAATAAAAGTACCCATAAATTTTCAAAATTAAACTGGAAAAAGAGAGTGAGAATTCCCTAGTGTTCTTTAAAGTTGAAACATTGCAACAAAATAGTGCATAGTGTGGGAACTTAGAATAGTAGCCAAATAAGGGAAGAAAGAGAAGAAGCACATTGTTTCAGAGAGCAAACAGAACATTTGGGTTTAAGAGTACATAGAAGAAGCATTAAGAAAGAAGGAACTAGGAATTACCTTGTAGAGGAAACACATGTCTGCTACCATAGCTGTTCTATAAACAGAGAGAGAAGCTGTGTGAGTGAGACCTGAGAGAGAGAAAGGGGTCAGCTTTAGAGAGAAGAGGAACCCCAGACGGCATTCAAGGCCATAAACCCAACCCAACAACAGTGCTTCGGAACAAACAACACAAGAAGAAGGGTGCCTTTCCCTTTTATGTTTGGCGTCTTGTTTCTTCTCTTTCTGAATAAATACATTTTATCAATCTTTTCTTTCTTTTTCTATTTTTGATGTTCTGTCTGTAACTGATTGCTAAACAAAATTATATTATTGTGATTTATGATTACCATTATTAGTATCATTAAGTTAAAAAAATAAAACAAATTTGCCGTCTATAACGGCTATAAATGCCGAGTGGAGACCCACGAAGCAAAGAGGTAAAAGGCAAAGACCCGAGGCGCGTGATGTGGAGGAAAGAAATAAAACGGAATCTCCTTGGACCACGTCTTTTGACATAGGTTTGATTACAATCATGTTCTTTACCAAATTTAAATAAAGTTATTTATTTATTTATTCTTTGATATCAATTTTATTTGAATTTGAATTCTGATATTGTTTTTATTTTAAAAATTATTTAATTAATCTAATTAAACTAACCCGAAATTAAATTAATAGATATATTAACAGTAGTTATCTTTTTATAAATGTTTTATAGAAATTAAATAACTTTTTTTGGGTCTAAGAATGAAATAAATTTTTTTTTTGAGTCTAAAACAAGCATTTAAGATTTGTTAGGTCAAAGAAAACTTCACGATAATTGAGAATTATCATCAAATAGATTAAGGGACAAATTATTACATTAAATAAGCTCAAGCATCAAGATAATTTTATATCGGTGTAAGACTTATTAGTCTTATTTCAATTGTTGATTTCTGTGCAACCAATGATTATAATTCAAAAAGTCATATGAATTAATTAATATTAATTAATTATTAATTACAATACAAATATTAAGCAATGATTTTCGCTCATCAATGATTAAGATATGGTATAAAATTTATTACTTCCAAACATCGTGTCTCACTTGAAAACTTAAATACGAGATGAGCAAACTTTTTCCATTTTTTCTTTGATATTCACTAAAGAAACAAGATACCAAACAAATTATGATAGAAAGAAACTGCCATTAAGAATAACGCAAGAACGAACAAGTTTATAAAAAAAATTATTGTTTTTTTTTTTATGTCCAACCTATATTGAGGAAAAACCTAATTATTCTAAAGTTTGATTTATATACAATTACTTTTTTTAATATTTTTTAACTAATCCCGTATTAATTAGTATCTCATTTAATAAATTACTGTATGCAAACAATTATATAATTGATTCGGTAATTAAAAATTCGAATTTTACCTGAGAATGAGACGTTTTCAGAGGTACATACAAAATATTTGTCCACTTTATTTGCAATTTCATATCTTTTCTTACAATTAAATGAATTAATCAACTTTCCTTTGTCTTTCCTTTTTTTCAAATCTATATATATATACATATATATATATATATAAGAGAGTTCAATGTTGAAAAGTTTTGCCAAGTGTCACTCCCTGGTCAATTCTACAAATTGTATTCACACTACATGTCATATACAAACTTTCTTTATTGGGTAAATTGGAAAAAAAATTCTTTTAAAAATCGAATTTTAAATTTTAAATCGAATAATTAAATGACCATTTGTGGTGGCAGACAAGGCATTGAATGTCCCACTGTCCATCACATTGGTATCGAAAAAGAAATCACCTGTTTTAATTGCTTTTTATGTTAGAATTGGTCATCTGATCTAAAATTCGAAATTTGAAATGGTTTAAAATTTTGAATTTAAATATAGATGGTGGGAAAAAAATTCTTTTAAAATTGAATTTTAATTTTTAAATCGAATAATTAAATGACCATTTGTGGTGACAGACAAGGCATTGAATGTCCCACTGCCCATCACATTGGTATCCAAAATGAAATCAGCTGTTTTAATTGCTTTTTATGTTAGAATTGGTCATCTGATCTAAAATTCGAAATTTGAAATGGTTTAAAATTTTGAATTTAAATATGGATGGTGGGAAAAGAATTACTTTTAAAAATCGAATTTTAATTTTTAAATCGAATAATTAAATTATCATTTGTGGTGGCAGACAAGGCATTGAATGTCTCACTACCCATCACATTGGTATCCAAAAAGAAATCAGCTGTTTTAATTGTTTTTTATGTTGGAATTGGTCATCTGATCTAAAATTCGAAATTTGAAATGGTTTAAAATTTTGAATTTAAATATGGATGGTGGGAAAAAAAATTTCTTTTAAAATCGAATTTTAATTTTTAAATCGAATAATTAAATGACCATTTGTGGTGGCAGACAAGGCATTGAATGTCCCACTGCCCATCACATTGGTATCCAAAAAGAAATCAGCTGTTTTAATTGCTTTTATGTTGAAATTGGTCATCTGATCTAAAATTCGAAACTTGAAATGGTTTAAAATTTTGAATTTAAATATGGATGGTGGGAAAAGAATTACTTTTAATTACTTTTAATGGAAATTTTGTTGTCAACAATGGAATTTACTGTGTTTAAATTATTATATTCTTTTTTTGTTCCTACCTTAAAAGTTACATGTTTATGTCATACGAACAAACTGATTTTCTTATTAATTCGTTTACGGGACAAACAAACCGATTTATTTTTTCTCCGTGCATCGCACGGGTAATCAACTAGTATCTGTTAATACATGCGTTCGTATATGCTCTGACTAATAAGTTTGACCTGATTAGAAAAAATAGTTAGGCCTCCTTAATTTACAATACTCCCACTATTAGTAAGATAAAATTGATTTTGATGCGGGGATAAATTCCTCAATTTTATTTTAAATCAAATTAATGTTATAGGTTTTTTAAGGATTAAAATGAATATTTACTTTAAAATTATATGTCTGTCATTTTTAATGTGAAATTATAAAAAGAATCACTCACAATTAGTATAATTTATTTTATACCGTTGACATTACTTTTACTTTTTAATATTAGAGGAAGATTATGTTTACTATCATCTTAGCTTTACTACTCTTACTATCTGATTAGTTAAATTTGAAATCAACGGCAATTAGTTTTTTTTTTTTCATTTTTAACTGTTGATTTTAAATTGATCGAATGATAATCAATCAAGTAATAAGATAGTAAGCCTAAAATGGTAGTAAAAATAATCATCCCTTACTATTATATTCTACATTGCATCGGCTTACCTAATAGTTACTTACTGGTTGAAAAAACTTAAAATACTAGAGTTTATATGTTAACCATACGTAGGCCATTTAAAATCAATACTATTCTTGCTATCTGATTGATTACAGTTGGTTCAATTTAAAATCAATAATAGCAGTTAGTTTTTTTTTTCATTTTTAACCGTTGATTTCAAATTGATCGAATGATAATCAATCAAGTAACACGAGTAGTAAACCTAAAATAGTAGTAAATATAATTATCTCTTAATATTATATTCTATTGCATCGGCTCAGCTAATAGTTACTCACTTACTGGTTGAAAAAACTTAAAATACTGGAGTTTATATGTTAACCATACTTAGGTCATTTAATCGATATAACAACCAGTATTTAATTAATAGTTTAGAGACAAAATGTGAATACCGGCTAATAAATACTCAGCAATCTCTCTATTAAAAGAAAAGAAAAAACTCAAAAATTTGCTGTTTAGGGTTATCTGTTGAGGATTAAAATGAATATTTACTTTAAAATTATCTGTCAATCATTTTTAATATGAAATTATAAAAAGAATCACTCACAATTAGTATAATTTATTTTATACTATTGACATTATTTTTACCTTTTAATATTAGAGGAAGGTTATATTTACTACTATTTTATCTTTACTACTCTTACTACCTAACTGATTATAGTTGGGTCAATTTAAAATCAAAATAAGTTAGTTTTTTTTCTTCATTTTTTAACCGTTAATTTCAAATTGATCGAATGTAATCAATCAGATAATAAGAGTAATAAGTCTAAAATAATAGTAAATATAATCATTCATTAATATTATATTATACATTGCATCGGCTCAGCTAATAGTTACTCACTTACTGGCTGAAAAAACTTAAAATACCGTAGTTTATATGTTAACCATACTTAATCCATTTAATCGTTATAACAACCAGCATTTAATTAATAGTTTAGAGACAAAATGTGATATCGGCTAATAAATACTCGGAAATTTCTCTGTAAAAAAAAAAAATCAGTAATTTGCTGTTTAGGGTTATCTATTTAGGATTAAAATGAATATTTACTTTAAAATTATCTATCAAATTATAAAAAGAATCATTCACAATTAGTATAATTTATTTTATACTGTTGGCTTTATTTTTACTTTTTAATATTAGAAGAAGATTATACTTAATATCATTTTAGTCTTACTTTTCTTACTATCTGGTTAGTTAAGGTTTGGTCAATTTGAAATCAACAACAGTTAGTTTTTTTTTTTTCAATTTTTTCATGTTGATTTCAAATTGATCAAAGGGGAATAAGATAATAATAATATATAGTAAGCCTAAAGTAGTAATAAATGTAATCATCCCTGAATATTATATTCTACATTACATCGGCTCAGGTAATACTTACTCACTTATTGGTTGAAAAAACTTAAAAAACTCCCTGAATATTATATAATCTGAAATTGATGTAAACTGTGAATCATTGTTAGTAAAACCGGACCGACCCGGGAACTGGTAAACCTATCATATAACCGGTCCGGTTGAAGCAACAGACCGGCCATGCATCAGAAACGGTGCGACCCGGCCGGTTTTCATGAAAACCGGTGACCCAGCCCGGTCCCAGAAAAACTTTCCAATTTTTTTTTTAAAAAAAAAATCATAATGGACATATTTGAATATTTTTTTGCTTATTGACTTACATAAGTTATGTACCTACAACATTAATATTATCTCAATTATGCACGATGCATAAAATTTTGATTTGATTTATAATTAGAGA